AACCAAAGTCTGTTTCTTGATTCCTTTCTTGCCAATGCCAGCTAGAAGGCCGCCACAAACTATCAAGAAAGGTATAAACTATGGTACAGCAAAGAATAAAAAAAAATATATTCTGTGATTGAAATAAATTTTAATCTATCGCTCGAAAATATTTTAATGTAGCGTGCACCAATTAGTAACCATGTCAGCAGCTTTATTCTTTTCTCTTAGTTTTAAAATCTTTGCTGTTTTTCTCAAATCGCATAGTTTATGTTTTTCTAGTTGTTAATTTCTACACGTTTCTATTGATTTGCTGTTGTGTTAAGATTCCTTTCAAATTAGTATTTTAACTCTATATAATATTAATAGGGTTGAAATACTTGATATTTCTGTGTATTTTATTTAAATTAAAAATAAATATAAAAAATAGACACAGTTTAACACATATTACAATATAGAAGAAAAAATAGTTATCGGATGTATAAACGTTATTAGTGAGTGAAATAATTAAAAATATATATATATAATGATCTAAAAAAGTGAAGATTAAGATGAAATTATATCATCAATATAGAATGAAAAAAATAAACAATTTGTGTCTTTATATATATTTATTTTAAAAAAATAATTAAAGTTACTAAAAAAATTAATAATAGTGGTGATTTTATCTAGTGAGAGAAGAGAATTATCCAACAGTGATAGTTATTAGAAGATAATTTATGGTTACTAAAAGAGGTTTTCTGCTTAAAGAAGTGACAAATACGGGTAAAAACAATTTTTTTTCTAAACCAATATAAATAAATAATTTTTAAGAAAAGTAAAAACTAAAAGAAAGTATCCTTTTCATATATAACTCTATATAATATATGGGTATTTTTCATATTTTATTAATATTTATAAAATTAAAATATAAAAAGATTGTGTATTTTAAATAATTAAATAACTTTTTTAATGTCTTCTGACTGCAGAATTTTTAATTAGTTTTGTTTGACAGCAGAATTTTTAATTTATTAATTTTTTGATTATTCTAATTTAAAATAAAAAGTCATGCAAATATTATTAGATAAGAAAATTTTCAATCACTTATTTACTTTTTTTTTATTACTTTAATATATTTTAAATTCTCATAAAATGAAATAAATGATATTAGATAAAAATAAGTTAAAAATTTTGTATTGATAAAAATTTAACCTTAGTAATAATTTTATAATTAAAAATTAAATCAAGATAAAAAAAGATCCATGATAAGAAAAGAAGAGTGAGAGAAAATATGTATATTCAAACTAACACACTCTTGAACTTTCAAAATTATGAAACAAACCAAAAACATTATTCAATATAAGGGCAAGATGAAGATGAAGTAAATCAGATACTGTTGGTGAGAGAGGATGAATTTTCTTTCTGCCTCTATCTCGCCAAATCATTTGACTTTGATGTCAACATTGTTACTTCTCTCAACTCCTATGGTCTCTCTTTTATCCTTTGTCTTTGTGTTTGTTCTTTTGTCGTCTTGTGAAGGTTTTGATATTTGTATGTGGGGTGTTAAAAGAAAATGAAAATGTGTAACAAAGCAGTTTCTGCTTTAATACTTTGCTCATATGTGAGTGTGGTTCTTATTTTGATTTATTTTTCGTTTGAAATTATTTATTTTTTCTTGATTGTTTTGAGGATAGTAAAAGATTTAAAGGTATCTGAACATTTAAAATTGTGGACATGATAGTGGGTTGAGTTTCCATCCCTTGTACTTTAATCTATATACCAATAAATACACAAATATTTTGGTAGATATTGCACTTAAATATATGAGAATACTTTTCAAAATATTTGAATGATATTTCTAAAAAACATTTTTGAAACAGAAGTTTGTCTAATAAATAAAGAATTAAACTCATATGAAAAACTCGTTTATCAAAGATATGTCTGTTAAAGAAATGTTAGATGTGTTATCTCAAGAGGCGTTTAAAGTTAATTATGAAGTATTGCATAGTTAAACACTTGGGATATTTTGTTCCAAATGGAAATACTTCAAAATTTTATGGAACAAGACGCGGATGCCTTACGAAATTTAAATTCGTGCACTCAATATGTTTTATACTTTTATTAATTAAATTGTCAAAAAAGAATATTATTATATTTATAATAAATTAATAAATATCATTAAAAAATGCTTTAACTATATTTATCAGGAGCATTTAATTTATTATGTTAAATATTTAACTATTTTAAAATTAAATTAAAGTATTTTGATATTTAATATTTTCTTTTACATCAGTCTCTAAAGTCAACTTTACATATAGAGAAAAAATATATCAAGAAAGAAAGAAAATAAATATCTAATTATATATATATATATATTTTATAAACGTATAGTCGTATAATATACTAGTAATTAAAATAAAAGCTAAACAAACACAAATATATCATCTCTTGCATGAATCAACTGATATACAGGATTTCAATTGAAGGAACTTTGATAAAAAATTTAGGAGTACCAAATTAATTTTTTTATACATAAATTAAATTTTTTATTAATTAAAAATAATAATAAAATTCCTCATTTTTTACTCAATTTTTTAATTTTATTATAATCAATAATATGATAATATATAAATATAATATTAATATATATATATAAAAAAATTTGGGGAAGTTGTGGCTCCCCATCATAACAAAGATCCACCGTTGTTTCAATTATTCTAGTTTAACAAAGGAATGTTTGAGTTCGTTTACTAAATATAGTATTTTTTTCTTTATCATAAACAAAAAAAAATAAAAATTTTTAAATATAAGCAAAATTTCAACTGTTTTTTTTTTTGTTTTATTTAATAATATGTTCCTAAAAATATTTCTCTTTTAATGTATATTTTTTAGCTATACTACCTTGTTTTGAAATTTAGAACAAGGACAATTTAAGAAAATTATTATATAATAAAGAAGGTTCAAATGATACCGGTATAATTTTTGTCAACTATTACACTATTCAATAATTTTATATTAAATATGAATTATGTTGATCAAACCTTTGATTTTTATCAATTTTTACACTATTTAATAATTTTATATTAAATGTAAATTTTGTCGATCAAATCGTTGAATTATAACCTCATATCACCTTATATGTTTATATCAAATTTTGTTATAATTGAATAACAATTTGAAGGTAATCAAAATATTCATATTTAAGTATATTTTGAAATACATATTATGTCAATTATTTTATGAGAAATAAGTATCAAATCATCTTAGATTAATATAAAATTTTGTATATATGATCTACGAGTGAGAAACTTTCAATTTAGCGGTAAGTTTTAAAAAATTTATATTTAATTGAAAGTTATTAAGTAATGTAATAGTTGGTAGAAGTTATATTAGTGTCATTTAAACTCTTTTCTTATATAATTATTAAAATTTAATATAAATAACCAATTTTCTTAAAATGCGTAAAATCAAATTTTTTTTATACTTATAATAGGAAACAAAAGGAGTATACCATTTGGTTAATAATCAACCAAAAAACTCTACCATCTATAATTAAGATAAAATAAATGCATTCATTAATTTTTACGTATATACTCTCTCCATCCCACAATTACTTCAGTTTAAGCTTTCTACTTTTATTACATATTTTTACTTATAATAGTTTAAGCTTATTATATAACATATTTTTTTATGACGGATAAGTCAACACCCATTATAGAAAGGTTAAAGTCAAAGGTTGACCAATAAATTCTATGACGGGTGTTGACTTACCTGTCATAAAAATAATATTCTATAACAGTTAAGACAATACATGTCATAGAATATTTTGACATATTTACAAGTATTTCACAACACTAATTTCTATGTCATGTGTATATCGTGACATAACAAATGGGCTAGAGAAACTTATTTTTGCACTAGTGATCATTCATTTTGAGACGCTTTTAAAATGATAAAACTAAATTGTAGTCATTGTAAGACGAAGTATAGAGGAAATATATTACTTTTTTTTTTCCTTTTTAGTAGTTATTTAATGATTTTATACATGTAATAAATTTTCATGTTTTTAATAAAATAATTTTTTTATTTCCTATATATTATACTCACTTTAATTTTTACTCCATAACAAATATGCTCCTTAGTTGTCAATATTATAAATCAATTAAAAATTAGATGAAATATAAGAGTATAATTAAAAAAATATAAATAATATTTTAAACTTTGAAAACGACATATAAATATAAACAAAATTTTACTAAAGAAAAATTAAAAAAATTTTAAAAAAAAATGGAAAGAGTAATAGATTAGATATATTGTCTTTCTATCACGTTTTTCTAATAATTCTCTAATTTTTTTTTATAAAACATTAAATAAATAAATATATTCAACATCTTAAAACCATAAAAAGATATGTATCATTTTTATATTGACTACGAGAATTATTATAAAGAGTATTAGAGCATCTCCAATGGAAATTGCATATAAGTAACCCCTATACTACATCACTGCCAAATCAGTTCTGACTCACTTTATGGGTTGCTTAAATTTTAGCAAAGTTGTTTCTACAAACAACTCTGCTAAAATTTAAGCAACCCATAAAATGAACCAGAGCTGATGTGACAGTGATGTGACACATAGAGTTGCTTATAAACAACTCTAATTACAGATGCTCTTATGAAAAAATAGAATCTCTTGAAAGATTAGGTCACAGGAAGGCTAGAACTTTTATTTTTAGCTACACTCCAGCCTCATCCAGTCATTCCCATGGTGCACCACTGAAGCAGGGACATTATTAAATTGACACCCACTACTAATAAATTGCACCACCTACCACAATTCAATGCCATACAACTACTAACAGCAATTAATATACACTGGGTCGAGGGAACACACGAGTCACCATCCCCATTTCCCTTGGTCTTTTCGAAACCGACACATTATTCCAAATTTTATTCATTCTTCTTAAATTAAGCTCAATAATGGACTCACCACACCACCACCAATCATCAACGAACAAATGTTAAAATAACATTCATAAAACTTAAGTACACTAACTAACATAAATACTGTTGGTACTAGTATTTTTGGTTAAAATTAAAATTTTAATTTAATAACATACAAATTATACATTCAATGCAATTATCAATACCATCAATATAAATTTACCCACATTATGAAAATGAAATTAAATTTCTAACAATATTAATAATACTTATAGACTACTGCAAATTTAGCCCTAAAAGAGTGTTAGAAATTAAAACACGTTGTTACTAGTCTTTGTTAGTGTTTAGACGTAATGTCAAGACAAATGTGTTTGAGGATGACAGGAATGACGATGTCCGGCGAGCTTAGTTGCGGCAAATGACCCTCCGTGGGCATGACCTCGACGACGGAGTGGCTGCGGAGGTGTTGGTGGAGGTACTCGGCGACCACGACAGGCACGGCGAGGTCCTTCATGCTTTGGATGATGTGGCATGGGACAGTGACGAGGTTAAGGATTTGGCGCATGTCGCTGTGGAAAATGGTCTGCAACACGCTTAGGGCAATGTCGGGGCGCATGTTGAACAAGGTTCGGCTGAATTCCTGCACCGCCACGGAGTCCATGTCACCGCCAACGGCCATTGGAGCGAAGCCTGAGCACCATGCCTTGTAATTCGCCGCCATTGCGTTGAATAGTTGGTCCAGATCTTCATGCTCAAACCCTCCAAAATATTCCGTGTCATTCAGATACCTTGCACAAAAGAAAACGCCACATGCCAGATTCAACGTTATTAATCAATTTGTTTTTCACCACCACTACCAAACCATCACCAATAAGAATATGAAAAATGGTGTTCTTAAGACACTTCATACGAAATTAAAAGTTTTATTTATTTATTTATTTAAGGGTAATATAGTGCATTCTTTGGTTTTTTAATAAAAAAGTTTCTATTATTATTCTTTAATTAGTGCATTTTATATTTTTCGTTGGTTTTAAATTGTTATACGGAGTAAATTAATTGAATTTCACAATATCTTTCTTAAAATTCATTCTTATATAAATTTTAATTTATTAATAATATATTACAAAAATATTATATATAATAATATATTAAAAAAATGTCATTATATATACAATATATATATATATATATAAATCTATTTGACATATAGTTACAGTTAATTTAAATGTCAATTTTGAATAAAATCAATAATATATTTTATGTGTAATTATAAATTATACATATATTTTTTTAGTAATATAATAATTTATATTATATTTATAGTATAAGTAAAAGTAATTTTTATTAACAAATATCGTATTATTACATAATGTGTTTGACTAAATGATGATCTTTTTAACGACTATTGATTGATTAACAATAAAAAAAAATTTATATTACAATGTGTAGAAATTTAACTTTAATTGATATAGAAATTAAAAAGTATATATCTTATGTTGTCTCATTATCTGTCTTTTGAACATAATGTAAAATTTTTAAAATTATTAAATACATTAATTACTATGATAAAATGTTCATTAAAGCATTCTTATTTAAAGAATTAGAATATAGCTAAAAGTTTAAGTATTTAGGTGTGATATTAGTAAAAGAAAGGTATAACATGTTTTGTTTGTCTTCGGAAGTGACAAAAAATTTGAGATAAACTAAAACAGGAAAACACTCAAGACATAATGCAAAACAGAGACACTAAATTAAAAAGTTAATCATTTAAGAACTAAAGATCTTGCTAAAAAATACCTCAATTAAGAATGATAGTTAGAGTTAAAAATAGAAAGATTTAACCATAGCTTATAGTGAGATACATTGTTGAGGTTAAATTAACGTTAAACTTTTTTGTGGAAGTTTTTCAATAATAATAATAATAAAAATAATAATGCAAAATGAACGTCCTTAATTAAGAAAATGAGACTGTAACAAAAGAGGCTTGAATTAGAATTTTCTAAGGTCAAATGCATATCATTATCCAATCATTAAGCTGCAACTTGAAATCAATCATTATGAATTGATTACCTAGGGGAAGCGGAGATCATGATGATCTTGGTGAATAGATCGGGTCGAGAAACAGAAGCAACGGTACCGATCATAGCAGACACGGAATGACCGACAAAGATACATGAATCAACTCGAAGCTCTTCTAATATAGCAAGCAAGTCGTAGGCATAGCCATCCAAGGTTGAGTATCGTTCAAAATCGAAGTAATCGGGGTTGGTGGTGCCAGCTCCCATGTTGTCGTACACTATGACGCGAAACTCGTCGAGGAGATGGGGCACGAGGTGTTTCCACACCGATTGGTCGGTGCCAAAGCCGTGAGCCAGAACTATGCAACGTTTGCCAGATCCCAAAACTTTCACGTTGTGAGCTTCTTCCACTATCCCCATTTTTCCCCTTTAATTTTGTGTTTTCTTGCGTCTCTCAATCGCTCCACGCGGTTGTTGGGATGGAGGCTTTCAGGCTTATTCCCGAGCTTCAGGCCTCGTTGTCATATTTGTACTTAAGAAGAAGGTTGTGATGGTAACGGAGAGAAGGACCATACCAATAGAAAAAACACACTTGAAAATGATATGTGCTTACATTATTTCTTCGAATCATATTGAAATAAATAAATAAAAGAACATGTTGCAATGTATTTTTGGTTTTATTATTTAAAGAATTAATATAAAAACATATGTGATTGAAATATTCTTTTATAAAAGTAAAAGGACCACCCATTTGCATGTTTTTATAAAGGAAAATAATTTATAGAGATCAATACATGGTGAAACCTAACATTATTAGGATTTTTTTTTATTATATGTGATTTTTCATGTGAATTTTGTATAAAAAAAAATAACAAGAAATGTGGTTTTACAAATTTTTTTTACAAAATTTTATCTTCAAATAATATCTTTATAGATAATATAATTTTGTAAATTTTAAAATTTGGTAACTTTCTTGCAAATTTAAAATCTACAAGTAATTTTTGTGCAATTTTTTTTTTGCTAAAATTCTTGTGAATTTCAATTTTACAAAAAAGTATGTCATAACTATGATTGTCAAATCAGCATTAATAATTCTTTCATCATTATTTTTTAAATGTTCACAATGAATTCATCTACTTCTATATCTCTAATATGTAATTCATAACTTTTTAAACTCTTAGAATGTGAATTATATGTCTAATTTAATCTTACAAAATTAACTTTTAAGGTGAGTGTTTCCTCTACTTAAATAGTCTTTAATTTTTTTTTTTATATCTCTAGTTGGTGTAGAACTTAAGATTTTCCTTAAATATTAATTAAACCATGTCCTTAAAAAATCAATTTGTTATACTGAACTACAAAATTATTTCATTATAAATTATTTTAATACTTAAAATATTTAATATTCTCAAAAATAAAATATTTAGTTTTTTATTGAATAATTTTATTTTGAAAACTATCATTATCATTAAATTAAAACTCATTATCATTCATTTATATATTTCATTAAAATAAATGTTTAATTGACTAATACTTTAAATTAAAATGAACTTTTATGAAATATTTATAAATAATTTAGTAAAATGATATTTTGTTAAGTAAATACTTTAAATTTTAAATTTTATAAATTATCATTAAGTTAAAACTCATTATCATTAATTTATCATATTTATAAAATTTTGTATATTTAATTTAAATAAATTTAAAATTAAAATTAATTATAATGATATATTTCTAAATAATTTAGTGAAATAAATTTTTAAATTTTAAACATTTTTTTTTTATATTTTTCCTATGAATTAAATTGACAAAAAAAAATTGCAAAAATAAGTTACTTACGAAATTTTTCTATCATTTATTATAATATTAATAAATATTACCTATGAATTTATTTTTACAAGAAAATTCATAAAAAATAAAAGAAATTTTTATGCCATTTTTTACAAATTTTTACCATGAAAAAAAAAATTAAATGCTATAATTGTCAAAGATTGTTTTCCAATGCTAATAGATTGAGAAATTGCTTAATGAGTTGCTTGGAGCAAAATTTTTCTCTATATTGGATCTTAGATCCAGATACCACCAAATTTTGGTCGAGCCACAAGATAGATATAAGACTACTTTCAGAACACATCAAGGTTATTATGAGTGGTTAGTCATGCATTTGGACTAACTAATCCAACATCTTTTCAAAGTTTGATGTATCAGATTTTTCAACCTAATTTGAGAAAATTTGTGCTTGTAGTATTTGATGATATATTGGAATATAGCCCCTTGTGGCATACTCATCTACAATGTTTAGAATTAGAGTTTTACACATTCAACAACATACTTTATATGTTAAACTTTCCAAATGTTTTTTTGGTACGACTGAGATGGACTACCTAGGACACAGTATTTTAGGAAAAGAGGTGGCAATAGATAAGAAAAAAAAAGAGCAATATTAGAGTGATCAAGACTAGTTAATGTGAAGCAACTAAGGATTTTTGGGTCTCACATGGTACTATAAAAGATTTATTGGTGGCTATGCGTACTACACCCTATGTCCAATCAATTATCAAGAAAGAGATTTCCAATTGGAGTCTAGAAGCGGAAATAGCCTTTGAAAAACTCAAGGTAGCCATCACAACTTTTGTATTAGATCTTCTAGATTTCACCCAACCATTCACTCTTGAAATTGATGTTTCAGGAATTAGAGTATGGGCAATCCTAAGCCAAAAATGACACCATATTGCTTACTTTTCTAAGAAATTGGTTCCTAGAATGCATAGACAATCCACCTACACTAGAGAACAATTTGCTATTACAATTGCATTGACTAAGTCCAAACATTACTTATTGGGCCACAAATTCATTATAAGAATGTATCAAAAAAGTTTGTTAGACCAGTCACTACAAAAACCTAAGTGTTCTTACCGGAAATCTGTCGTAGAGGTGATTCGCCAGGTAAGATCGATGAGCCTCCTTCACGGGTACGCTGGTGTTCCAAGATGGGGGTGGTACTTGCAAAAGAGACTCCGAGGCTAAAGTTAGTGTTTGTGGGAGTATGAGTCTCGTATAAATAATGCACGTACCTTTGTGTGAATTAGGGTTATGTTGGGCCTTGGGCCTGAGATCTGTTATGATCTGATTAGATAGTAGATCTCGTCTGGAGCGAGCTCCCCGAGATCAGTTATGATCTGATTAGATTGCGGAGATCTCCGAGATCAGTTATGATCTGATTAGATTGCGGATCTCATCTGGAGCGAGATCTCCGAGATCAGTTATGATCTGATTAGATTGCGAATCTCGCTTAGGTCGAGATCTCCCAGTGCGTGCCTGAGGCTATTCCACGTTGTGATACCGAGCTCGAGCTCGTCATGGCAGTACGGATAGTACATTAGCCTCCCGAGCTCCGAAGATCGTAGGTCGAGGAGTTAAGCCCGAGCTCGGCAAGTGGCTGTGGCCCTTCGCGTACATCTGCCTGTCGAGATACCATGTGTCATAGCCATCACCTCGTTCCCATAACGCGTGGGCGGGGCGGCGACAAGATTGTATTTTTATTAGGTTCGGACTCGACCTTGGAATAACAAGGTTCGAACTCGACCTTGGTTAAGAAAATGTGATCTCGAGGTTCGGACTCGACCTCGGCATAACAAGGTTCGAACTCGACCTTGGTTAAGAAAATGTGATCTCGAGGTTCGGACTCGACCTCAGCATAACAAGGTTCGATCTCGAACTTGTTTAAGAAAATGTGATCTCGAGGTTCGGACTCGACCTCGG